CTGGGCATGATCATTAGGGCCTAGAGCATGAATTATTTCCTATTACTAGGGAAGGGATTGAAAGGACCCAGCCTAAGGAAAAGAAAACCGAGCCTGCCATGATCAACCATGTGGAGCAGCAGGAAGAGGAATAGGAGAGAGAAAAGGAAAGGGGAAAAGAAAGAGAAAAGAAGAAGAAAAAGAAAGCGCTGTCAACCAGTAATTAAGTATCCAGGATAAATATCTTCCACAGAGGAGAGTGAACTAATGACATTTTTAGATAACCAAAAGTGGAGAATCTCTCACCTGTAGACAGGCAAGAAATGCTGAAGACAGTCCTTCAGGCTGAAGGGGAAGGTGACAGATGAAGATAAAGGTTCCATAGGAATGACAGGAGAATGAATGGGACTGCACTCTCCTGTGTTCATATATGAATACACCACAGTGAAACTCCACATCATGTAACAAGGATGGGATTCTAGTTAGAATAAGTCATATTCCATGTATGAATCATATAGCAAAATACACTCTACTGTCATGTATGTCTAAAAATAAAAATAATAAAAAATTAAATAAAAAGGTAAGTAGGTAGATAGATAGATAGATAGATTGATTGATTGATTGATAGAGGTCTCCAAAAGGGACAGAGAGGAGTAGAAATGGAAACTGAGTCAACATAAGAAATTTCCTTCTCTAAGTTTCTTTATAAGATGACCAGCTATAAATACCATTGATTTGCATAAAATGTGTGTGCATGCATAAAATTATGCATATGTACATATGAATGAAATGATAAGTCATTACCCGTGACAGTAAGGGGAACAACAGCCACACTAACATTTACTGTGCATATTGCAAATGTCACAGGAATTAGGAACCTTCAAAATAAACTCACCAACAAACACCATTCACATTTATTTCTTAATATTTCTCTCTGTCAACCAAGGTCTAAAGGTGATTAAAAAAACAACAACTCTGTAATGTATAAAAATAATTTGGTCAAGGTAAGCAGCTTTTTTAAAGACCTGTCATAATACAAGAATAAAACTTACTCTTTTTTATTCCACTTACTATCTCATACCTAAACTTCTGGTGAACTTTAATAACATCTGATAAATCCTTGTGTTGGTATGCTATAGTGTGTTGTGGAGTTTTCTTCTTGTTTTATTCACCTTTGTCCTTGACATTTTGAACCAATATTCATTAAATATTGGTCCAATTTGGACCAATATTCACTCCATGTGAATTCTTATACCAAGGGCACAAAATCCCAAAGAGAAATTTTAGATGTAAAATATTTGATCGCATATATTGGTCATTGGAATGACGATGGAGAAAATTCAAATCAATCATACTAAATCATAGAGATTCCATTCTGCATCAGAAAACATGCTTTCAAAGGAGTGACATCACTTCCTGTGACACCTAATCTGTGTTTGTATCCAATGCACAAAGGCTTCAGAGAGCTCTACTCTGCAAATGCATTCTCAAATGCATTAATCTGAATTGGTGACATTATCTACACAATGATTAACAGTATAGCCTTACAGTATGCATGTAATTTCATTGTTTTACAAATAATGGGAAGCCATAATATGGTGTTTTTTTATAGTTCATATAAGAGACTGACTAACATGATAGCATGCACTTATTATTTGTTAAAAGTCTTGGCTTCATGCTCTGGATCCCATTTTAACAGGAACAAGAATGTGTCAGGAGATAACCCTGAAAATTTTTCCTTTGACCAATGGTACCTCCTGCTGGACAGTTTGCCCTTACAGGTTCTATTTCTGGATCAGATTTGGCCATACAGTAGAGATATTGAGGTGTGAATGAAAATAGAAAAAAGTGATCATGAAAAGTTCATTCAGAGTATCTCTATTCTAAAAAGAAAAACAGACTTTAACAAGAAAAGTTGATCTCTGAGATCACCCTCCTGGAAAGGAACCATGCACAATGAACATTATTTGGACAAACCTTTTTTGTTTTTTTCTTTTTTAATGTGCTAGCCCGCCTTGGATCTGTCCCCTGAGGCTGGCCTGCATGTTTGTACTCCAGGATTGTCTGCTTATTGCCTCCTGGTTTTCCCTGCCTGAGCTTCACCAGACACCATGCTCTCTTCACTCCCACTCATCAAATGAAAGCTTGCCTCTCAAGGGATTCAAATCCCAATGCAAACCAGACTCCTCTACTGGGAGGAGACTCCTGTGGCCCAGAGACATCACTAGGCCGAGGAGTGAATGGTCTAAAGAGTTGTGAGGACACACTTAACACCACGTCCAACACCACTCATGCCATGCAGGTAATAGGTAGAATGTCAGGTGCCAGTCCCATTGTGTCTAAAGATGAGGCGCATGAGAAAATCAATACTACCCTTGTTTAAATCTACAGCTCCCATGAAAAACAGCTGCAAGTGCTCAGAGATAGCAATGCAATGCAAAGTGTATCATCTACCCTTAAAAAATAGTGCTTTTCTAAATAAAAGAAAATCCCATATGGAAAACTCAAAAAAGGTCTGGGGATGTGGCTCAGTGGTAGAATACTTGTCTAGCATGCAGGAGGCCCTGGATTTGATCCCAAGTACAGGGGGAAAATATCTGCTGGGAAACTAGAAAATCTACCACAAGTGGCCTCTCAGAAAATTCGAATAAGGCCATATACTCCTAAGAACAAAAGCTAATTTAAAGAGTGAAACCAAAGTTAAAAGGCAGTGAGAGGCAATGCAGAGAAAACTAAGGCCAAACAACAGAAAAAAATTCAGGTATTAGGACTTAACACATGTTTAAAATACATCAACCAAAATTAGTTGTAATTTTTAAAAAATTTGTTGTAATTAGTTACACATGACAGCAAAATTTTGATTCATTGTGCACAAATGGAACACAACTTCTCATTTCTCTGGTTGTACACAATGTAGAGTCACACCATATGTGCAGTCATATCTGTACCTAGGGTTAGACATTATTTTAAATTATAGAATTCATAAAATTTTCTGTCCTCATAAAAATTCTCTCTTCATAATGAAGTCTTACACAGGGATTTCAAAATTTGAAAATTATTCATCCACTAGGTCTCAAAATATGATAGCCATTTCATAAGTGTAACATGTAGAATACAGGTACAGGCAAGGATAATCAAAGATAAACTTTCCAGTAGTTCAAAGCCTCCAAAGTGAGAAATGTGGACATCAAATTGAGTAATAGGCTTCTTTTGATGCAGAAATATTGGAAAATAGCTGACCTAAGTATAAAACATGGAAATCACCACAGGGACTGAGACCTGCTTCGTGAAGGACCTGGAGGCATGGCACCCTCAGGGGTGGGAACGGGTGCCCCCAGCTCCCAAAGTGCCTGTGGAACTGTGCTTACCTGACTGGTGGAGACATCCTTGTCTGTCTTGAAGAGGAGACAGACATTGCTTTCACTGAGGAATAATACTAACAACAATGTTAAAGTGGGAGAGAAGATGAGCAGGAGGGAACGTGTCTGTGGTGTCCTCTCCACTCATTCCACACGGGTACTCATCATCCCTTTCAGTCTGGACATTTCCACCTTAGATATCCTTTAGCTCCTCTGCTGCCTCTGCTCACTGCTTTAAGATCATTGCGACTACTGCCTTCCAAATGTCTTTCTGACCCCACTAATATGTAAAATTTAGGTAATTTGCTTTTCCTAAGGACAGTGATTAAAGGGAAGTAGATCAGGGTTACAACTACTTGAGTTGGCATCTAATGCCACAGCCACAGAAAAGACAAATAAAGGAAGTTGGTAATCCTGTGTATTCTGACTTTGATATGAAGGAAAATGCTATCATCAGCTTTTAATCTACTGTTCTTATTTATCTAGCAATTTTTCATTGATGTCGATCAGATCAAACATGGAGCAAGATACACAGGACAGAGACAGAGACTGAGCTCTTTGGGACCTGGAGCATGGTCAGGAAAATAGGACAGGTTTACAGAGACTACAATGGAGATACTCAACACAAGAGCTCCAAGTCGGATCTGAGGCCGGAAAGGTCACTTTCAGATGCATGAGAAGGGAATGGCTACAGGGAGGAAGCGGGGAATGCAGAGGGATGCTAGCCCCAGAATCATGTCTAGGAACCTACACAAAATTGTGGCTGTGGGACTGTGTGTGGGAAGTCATTTAGAGAAATCTGACCATCCAAGGTCTTAACTTGCTGAAGTTCACCTTATTGATATGGGCGGAATTGGAAGTTATTTTGTATAAAAATTGACTGACCTAGGTAGATTTTAAAAGATGAGAATTCTTGGAACTAAGTACAAGAAGAAATGAAGTTAGAAAAGCAGAGTAAATGGACACAAGAAAATCAGATAAAATTGTTGTCCAGGTAGAACACTGCAGAAGAAAAACCACTTTAGGGAAAGAAAAAAAAAAAAAAACATGAAGGAAATGACAACCTTTAGGAATGGTGAACTATTCATCACCCAAGGTGGTGCTTTTAGTTTTTGATCTTCCACTGAAAATAGTATTACCCCTACCTAACTATCTAATAATAAATGCTCCTTAGAATATTATTACAAAATTTTAAAAATATCTGCACATGATCAAATAACTTGAAATGTATTCTGTAGCTTTTATACACTAGAAAAAAAGTTCTTTTCAAAATACCAACTGCTAGATGAACTTCCAGAGATTGTAGCTTCCTTTTAATCCAAATCATCTGTGCATATATTTCAATATATTTTTTCTACATCTTTTAATATTAATTCTAAGAAATGAATGGAAGGTGTGGAAAGAAAGGATGGAGGAATCTTTGTCCATTTGGGAAGAGTTCATATTTTTACCCTGTTTTGCAGGCTGTAATTTTAAATAAGTGCTAGCCTAGAGGTTTCATTGTTTAGAACCACAGGCTTTATATTACCTTAAAAAAAAAAAAAAAAAAACCTCTCAGCCACAAGTCGGATGATTCTGGCAGCAATGCAAATCTAGCACCACCCAGGAGGGAGCGGGCTAGCTCCTTCGCTCATTTCTGCCACGGTAGAGGAATGCTGGACATCAGGAGAGCAAGGAGGCTGCAGCACACTGCTCCCCAGCCCCACACCTTGGGCCTCCTGTTGGGACACACAGGTAAGCTCCTAGGCACAGATCCAAGCAGAGCACTACTTGGGAGCAAGCCACAAAGGTCAAGTTCACGGCACTGGAGGAGCCTCACACGTCTTCTCAACACCTCCCTTTGGCTGTAGTTGGGCTGGTTAGGTCCCAGGCTTATTACTTCACCCATAAATTCCTAAAAAGGTTCTTTTGCATGTTATTATTTATATCTTTGCATATTACTCTGCATCAGGCTGTCCAGAAGGCTATAAAGATACACCAAAATAGCAACTGAACGTGTTTGCTCATAACAAACCCACAGCTAGTTATTAATCTGTTATTCTTTGTTATTCAGAAACTGGATGATCTTTTAGCAATCTTTGTCGCTTAACAATGAACTACTACTGTATAGGAAGTTCAGTTCTCAATGTCAATGTTTTAAAATAACAAATGGATAAAGTATAGGACAACAATGAAGTAAAACACTATAAATATGAAATCTTCCCATAATATGGCAGTAGTCTCAAAATATAAAGCTTAGTGTTATAAATTTGGGTTCTTAATGAATTTTTTATATCATAATTTGTGTTTACATTTAGATGTCAGAAACTGAGCTGGAAAAGATAAAAATAGGAACAGCCCAGCATTTTGAAAATGACAAAAAGAATGTTTCTTGGTTGAAGGAAGGTAAGTCCTTATGCTCTTGATTTTTTATATTGGTGTAAAAACTGTGATTTTGTTTATAAGCAAAAGATGCTAAGGTAGAAGAAGATAATAGGCCTCAAGAGTTCAAGTGATTTTTGTACTTCTGATTTTCTTTTTGTCACACAAGTGGCCTAAGTAGTATCGTGAGCATCTTCAGTACTGAAATCCCTCTTAAAGTCTCTGTATGGCAGGAAACAGGTTACTCTGCTGGTAAGGTGTAATGCTCATTTTTACCTCGGGAATATATTCTCTTTGAGGGCTTTGTTCTCCTGTAGGTTTTTCTCCTTTATGGTCAAGAAGTCTAAGTAATTGGAGGACAAGTATTTTTAAATAATAATCACAGAAAGGAAAGCCTGCTGTAGAAAACAATGCCTACAAATAGAATCACCATTCACCGCAATTAGGGAGGCCACCTTCCCCAGGGAGCGTGCTGCAGCCACCAGCACAGCATGCGTAAACGGCTGCTTCTTGAAACACACAATCGATATCCCTCCTGTGAGAAGTATACATCCATGCACTTTGGAAACTAGGTCTAAAGTGATTATTTGCCAGAAGGCTTCATTTTCTCGTCTTTTGGTGTTATAAATGTCTTTAATATCTCTTAAAGAAAGTTGATTTGGTACTGCATCTAAAGGGATGCTCCATCTTGTTCATCTTTTAATTAGTCTACTAAATTGCAAGAAAACAGCTCTTAAGTAGTTAAAATTCTTAATACTTGTCTTATGAGGTAGAAGGCAACTGATAAAAATATCAAGAAACTTATGTAAACCCAAACAGCAATAATGACGTTAGCAACACTTGCAGTGTGTCGTGGCGACTGCTGAACAGGACAACCCCTTGCTGCACACCCCTAATCTACCAGTGAGACCACAGAGCCTGACAGAGCTCCAGGGACTTGCCAAAAATTACAAGGTTACAAATCCCAAGTGGTGCGAACCTGGGCCATGATTCTAACCACCACCAGCACGATCACCAGGAAAGATGGCTGAGTCAGCTGTCAGGATGGGATCCCGGATCACAAGGCCTTTTCTACAGTGTTCAACACCTCCAACAGCTTCACCAGATCTCACTGCACTCCCATCCTGCCTCTACCCTTATACTAAAAATATTCCCTTTAAAAAAATATCCTTTCTTTTATCCAAATGCCTGCAACTAAATTTAATAATAAGAACTTGTTTCTTTAAGGGAATTTATTTCTAATAAAATAGTAGACCCAGATATAAAGTTCTCTCATAATTAGTCTCTTCAAAAGCCACAGGGCTAGAAAATTCTCTAACTTCTTTTTATCAAAAGATCTGTTAAATAGACCGCTTTAAAAACAACAGGGAAGGAAAAAATAACTTGGCTCAAAACACCCCTTGCTTCTCTCGTGAACCCCAAATCCATGGAGATAGAGCTGTTCCTCCCTGCTACACACAGTGAAGCTCATATTACTTATTTTTACTTTAATTGCTCTAAGCTGTGGGTGTCTCATAGAGATATAGTAATGAAATTGATAGACCAATCAATTGTTTCCTGAAGAATTTTCTTTAAAAATATTATGTCCATTAAGTACAACATAGGCATTGAATTCTTGTAATCTATAAAGTCTAATTTCCCAGCTGACCTGTATTATCCCATTTGGACACTTCATTTAAGCTACACTCAAATTATGTTTACAATATTTCATAAAAGGAAATTGAGCCAGATTCGACATGACAACATCTTAATTAGGAATTATCAGGATGGGTTAGTTTTCAAACATAACTGTCTTTCTCTTTTGCGATTAAGAAAAAGTATATGAATTGGCTTATATTAAAAATAAAATAAAATAAAATAAAAGACAAACCATGCAGTGGAAAGAGCACATCTGAAGTCAGGCAGACCTGGCATTAGATCTGCACTTCGCTGCTCACTGGCTGTGTGACTGCGATGTGGTACCTCACCTTTCTGGGCCTCAGTTTCCTTGCCTGGAGATTAGACTACCTGCTTTGTGAGATTATGGGAATGAGATTCCATTATTTCTGTTTCTTTCCCTTTTTAAAACATGACTCAAAATAGTACAGTTTTGTTTTTTGAAAGTGTGGCTCACATCATAAACACTTGTACTGGAAACAGCACTATGTATTTCAGTGTTCTGTGTACATCCCTTTGATGCCTACAATCTGGTGTGCAGTAGAATTGTCTCTGTTTTACTGATTACGGGTTTGCAGTTAGGAGAAACTTTGCATCTTGCTCAAACTTGCAGAACAGGTAAGTGGCCGACTGAATCTCAAACCCAGACCCCCAGGTTCCAACTTCTATTCTTTTAATTAAACCACTTGCTCAAGGGACTTCCCCAACAGCAATCAATAAAAGTTTTAAATTCAACAACCTTCTTCCCACCACCCCACTTTATAAAAGTGAAATGCATGCTTTAAGGTTTTCAAAACAGTTTTCTTCTCAGATGACAAAAGTGGTGACATCTCTACATCTCGCAGGGCAGAGCCTCTGTTGCCTCCAGAGGAACCCTTTCCTTGCTGAGTTCAGCTTGAAGCGCCACCCGCTGGGCGGTGTGCTCAGGACACCCAGCACAGCACAGGACCTTCTGCAAGCATGGCAGGGTGCCAGAGAGTCAGCGCCCTTTTCCTCATCCTGAGGGCAGCTAGTTTTCTGACTCCTCACCTCCAAACATCTTTCAAATGCAATCCAGGGTTTATTAACTGTGGCAATATATAGACAAAGTCTTAGAGCGCATGTGTTCAGGATCTTATTGTTTAATTCTTTTGCTTTTGTGGGAAAGAAGAAAGGCTCTTATCTGCCCTCACATGGATCAAGGGCTTGAGAGCTCAGGGGTGGTATCAAAGAGCTGAGGAAAGCCACACCCAAGGCTATCTCAATAACTCAGGTGAAACTGTTTGAGAAACACCACAGGCAGAACTGAACTGAATCCTATTTCACCCTCTCTCAAGCCATCCAGTCACCTACCAATACCACTTGTGTTACCCTGAACTTCTAATTTCTAAAATTGCACATGTGTCTGATTCTTGGGATCTAACTGAAGGAATTAGAAAATAATGCTAAAGAGCAAGACAACTGATTCTGAAATAAGATGTTCAGGGACATTTTTGGAGAAAACTTGCTTTAAGATAATCAGAGAAACAAGACTTGATCTTGAAATAAACACCAAGAAAGGGAACCATATCATGTAATTGGACCCAAGTGATCTGAAGGCCACTCACCATCTCTCTGCACTGGTGAAGAGGAGTTAAAGCTAGGGGCAAAGCCACCAGGGAGGCTGGAGAGGCTGTGTTGGAGTGAGGGAAGTGGGTGTGTTGGCTAGCTGTCTTTGTGTGCATTAACACATTAGAAAAGGGGAAAACAACTCAATTCCAACTTCACGTCAAGTGGTTGGACATTGGTTCCATGTTGTTACTGCGGATCCGAGAGCAGGGACTAATGTTCATACCAGTCTGTAAATCTAACGGGTGTGCAGAGTGGTGTAGGGCAGGCAGAGGAAAGGACGAAAAGGAAGAGAATGGTGGCTAAGACAGGAATATAGGTCCTGAGTGAAAAACTATATGAAGAAAAAATTAATGTAACATAGAAATTGGGGAGGGGGAATTACAGGTGGAACAAGATGGTGCAATACCCCCATTAAGTCAGGGAGCCTTCTGGGTAAGCATTTCAGTGAGCATTTCAGCTTGCAGCTCACACCATTTGACATGGAAGAGAAAAATTGCATGAGGGGTTGGAGGCCCTTAAATTGTTGCCATTTGCAGTTTAAAATGACAGCATCACCAGTGTTTGTGGCAATTCTTTAGTGTCTCCTGAGTTTTCAATAGAAACTGGAAGTCTGGGTTTCTATGTGAAATCTCTTCACTGCTAAAGATTAAGTAATAAAATGATTACAAAGACAAAAATAAGATATCAGGCAGAACAAGTGAAGCCAGGTTCTGTGGGTATAAGTCAGTCCCCAGTTGTCAGTTGGTAACTGCTGCCATAGGAGTTTGCATCTAGACAAAATCTAATACAATTTCCTGAAACTGGTTTTCCATAAACATGGCTATAACAGCACAGATATCTACCAATCAATCATCTCCCTACCTACTTGTCTCTATACTTATACTTACATATATATAGTATGTATTTACATATACATATAAGCAAAGTTAAGATAATAATCATTTAACCTAGATAATGTGAAATTGAGAATATTGAAATAAAAAAACTCTTCTTCCAAAGACTAGCTACCTGTGATTGTTTTAGAGGATTTTTCTCTTCATAGTCATGATTGGGAAAGAACAAAATCATGCCAAGGTGCAAATGTACACTCAATGCACCCAAATAATGACCTGGCATCTTGAATACACTGGTTATCATTTAATCAGAATTAATAAACATTAGAAACTAACAATCCAAAATACTGGAAAATAACCTAGAGGTCCAAAAATCCATGTTCCCCAAGTTCCCTACTGAATGTAAGGCAAAGCCTGAAATTCCGCCTTGTTCCTGACCTCATGCTTGTTTGCAAATGAGATGGAGAAAGTGAGCATCTTACATTTATTGGCATTCATAAAACCATGGACTTCTCTTTAATTCCAAGTGAAGGTGATTTATTCACTTGCTCAAATATTAATTTGAGGTCATGAACATTAAAATGATTCCAAAATTTTCATTTTATTCAATTTAGGAACCATCTGATGTGGCTCTACTTGAACCTACAGACAACTAAAGACACAGATTCCAAAAGATGAAAATGTCAATGATTCCAGTGCTTAAGGAACTAAGAGTTCTGCTATAATGCCTAAATATTAACCCATGCTAATTCTGTCACTCAGATAATTCTTCCTTCTAAAAGGTGTGTGTGTGTGTGTGTGTGTGTGTGTGTGTGTGTGTGTGTGTGGCTTAAAAATGCAGCCCGGGTAATGCCTATTTTAAATTGTTAATTCACAAGTAGCCTATCTGGACATCTCTTTACTATGTAAACACAGGAAATGGAATTATTAGCTCTTACTTCTGTA